TCAGCCATGGTTTCCATGCCATACCAATGAAATGAGAACTGTAGCACGTGGGGCTCTTCCATCATGGATATTAAAAAAAATCTCCCCAGGTGATTACAATGTGTAGTCAAATTTGAAAACCATTGCTGGAGAGACAAGCTCACTTACTTCTTGAGTTTTTGCCAGGGAAAGTCTGGTAGAGGTCAGAGTGTCTGGGTCTGCTGGGCCAGTGGCTCTCCTCCTCCTCTTCCTCACTGTTGCTTTGAACCTGTAACCAAGATCCCAGCAGAATATGGTCAGAGCCAATGGGGCACAGAGGCAAGAAAAGGTGCAAGGTGGCACCTACCTGTGGGGGAAAGAGGTTAAGTGTTTGGGAGATTTGGATAGGAATCTTGGATAGGAGATAGGAGAGGAGTAGAGCTCTACATTCGATGAGAGGCAACAAACATGCAAATGATATTGCAAATAAACACAGCCTCTCTCTGTGACAAGGATTTGAGAGATTTTTTTTCTAAAGAATACAATCAATGGCAGTAATACCTGTAGACCCAGGTAAGAGGAGTGCTCAGTTTTAGAGGGTCCACAGGGTGAAGTGTTGGTAGACTTAGATGATATACCCATCTGCTAGTCTGTGGCCCTGAGCTGGCCCCAGGGACCTGCACTGGTTTTGCCTCATGTCTATTCTCTTGGAGGAGACTTATTTGCTAGTGTATGCAACCCCAGGTCTGAGTGGTTAAGGGATTGTGGCATTTGGATATACATGCACATGGGTGTGCAAAGCTTCTTATACAGTAGGACATATCCAGATATAGGCAGGGAAGGGGACAGATCAGAGGCTATGGGACATTCTGCCCATACTATCCTCTCCTAGCACAGAAGTCCTTAGTATAAAACTTCTAGATTTAGAAACTGGACTTTTAGGTCTTAATGGTTACACATTTCTTATGTTAGGAGAGAACATATTTTAGTTAATAGTTTCTAGCTTTGCGCATGCCTAACTTCCTTTTGCACTTTCATGAGGATCCCAGCAAACGATAAGGGCAGGTGTGTTTCATGAGAACCTTCAATGGGGATCAGATCAGATAAGAATAACAAAAGCAGCTTTGAAATCTGAATGATCTTAAGAAACAAGGCCTGTTTCTCTTTCTCCCTGTATATTAATCCATTCTCAAAAGTTTCTGAATTTAATTCAAGAAGTGACACATCTAGGGAGAATGGAAACCCTGGATCTTCTATCCTTCTTACCCAGAAGGACTCCCTCACCTTCTGGGTAAGAATCCACAGATTTTCTCTGCCATTCTCTCCTTCACCTCCAACCCACTTACCTTCTCTGAGTCCAAAGTGTGTTGAGGCTGCTGGGTTAGAGATCGGTGCAGTTCTGGTCTGTTTTGGTTCTGCCTCCATTTTTGCTGGATGATTGACAAGTCCAATGACTTAACCTTCTTGTCCAAGGAACTCTTTTGAAATAGGCTCTTTCTTGCTTTGCTCTTTCTTTTCCAGAATATCTCATTCGTGGCTGAAGGAGCTTCCTGATTGGTAGCCTGTAGACCCCACAGCTCTCTCCTTACCTGTGCAGAGTTTGTGCTCCATTGTGGATTCCCTCTGGTTAGATAATGATTGCAACAGGATGTCTCGGGGTTAGAATCCAGATCTTGTGATGATGCCAGAACTGTGGACATCCGTTGCTGTGTTTCCTCATTAGGGTAGAAGACACATGGAGAGGAAGCAGGAAGTTGTGAATCCCTTATAGGGCCGGCAGTCTCTTCCTGTGGACCTTCCTCAAACCCAGGGCCTTTCTGGAGAACCAGCTTCTCTTCTCTCACTCTGTCCATTACTTCCCACACCACTTGGTCCAAACTGTTTCTTTTGGGGGTGTTGCGGGGTGGAGACAACCGATCCCGGGAACCTGTGTACAGGCACATTTTGGAGATAGCTTTCCGGAGGCGTTCTCTGGGTGAGTGGGGCTCAGACTCTGGGGCCAGAATCCTGATGGATGGCACATCCGTTGGGTTGCAATTCCAGAACATATGGGATGGTATGAATTTTTGGACAGGTGTCTTAGACACGTAGGAGTAGAGACAGAAGAAGGCATCAGCAGTGACAGCCAGCGTTTGCACCTGCTTGAACCTGCCTGGGTAAAGGGTTAAAGATGGTGATTCAGGAGCACAATCAGCAAATTCTCTCTGAAATATCTCCCTTCAAAAGGCTTCCTAAAGCTCAAACTTCAAAGAAAGCTACCAATTTACCCATTAGTGTTTTCCCCTTTTAGATTTTGTATACTCAGGGTACCCTTTCTGGACTTTCTTGAGTCTCTATACTCAGAGGATATCCCAAATAGGAAATAGAAAATGGGTTAAGATTTACAGACATTGTACTGATTTAATTCAGCTGAACGAGACAAAGTCTAAAGAAAGCAATAGTGGTCTGAGATCTCTTGAAGACTATTTCTTCAAGAGAAAGAAGCAAACATCAAAGTTATCCATCTTCCCTAAGCAACGTAAGAGGAAATGGAAGAGACAAAGGGTCAAGTGAATCTAACCAAGAGAGTGTAGGATTTGGGGCCATGAGGCCCCTTTGTGAACAACCGAGGCTGGCAGAGAAGTGGAACACGCATCCATGGTAACACTCACTGGCTAACATGAGGCAGGGGTCCTCCATTTCAATCCTCCGCACCTGAGCCTTCAGGAAGAGCTGGAAATCGATGCCCTTGGCCTGAGAGGGGTTGGTGAAAAATCTTGCAGGGATCCGAGAAGTGTCTTTGTGGTCCTCTTGGCCAAAGCCCAGACTAAACAGGACATCTTCTGCATCTTCTTGCACCTGGTCCAGAATCTCTGAGATGCTGAAATGAGGGAGTTTGGATAAACAGGAAACAACTTTGAGACCTAGGAAAATCTAGGATATCTAATAAAAGTATCAGGAGACATTTCTTTCTGGCCATTTCTCCACCTTTCTCTGTGACTTTGAGAAAAGCTTTCACTTCTTAGAACCTAAATTCTCTGTCTGAAACATGGGAATTGCAGTCTGGTTCTAAAACTGAATAAAATCTCAGCACAGTACTGTGAGCAACTTATTACAGTTGAAAAAATTTAAATAAATAAGAAAACATTTTGAAAAATGAAAAGCAGTGTAGATGCAAAGAAATTATGTGG